TGGATAAGCTTTTTGATGTGCTGTTGCAATCGGTTTGCCAGTATTTTATTGAAGATTTTTGCATCTATGTTCATCATAGATATTGGCCTGAAGTTTTCTTTTCTTGCTGAGTCTCTGCCAGGTTTTGGTATCAGGATGATGTTGGTCTCATAAAATGATTTGGGAAGGATTCCCTCTTTTTGGATTGTTTGGAATAGTTTCAGAAGGAATGGCACCAGCTCCTCTTTGTGTGTCTGGTAGAATTCAGCTGTGAACCCATCTGGACCTGGGCTTTTTTTGGGTGGTAGGCTTTTAATTGCTGCCTCAACTTCAGACATTGATATTGGTCTATTCAGGGTTTTGACTTCTTCCTGCTTTAGGCTTGGGAGGATGCAAGTGTCCAGGAATTTATCCATTTTTTTCAGGTTTACTAGTTTATGTGCATAGAGTTGTTTGTAATATTCTCTGATGATGGTTTGAATTTCTGTGGAATCTCTGGTGATATCCCCTTTATCATTTTTTATTGCATCTATTTGATTATTCTCTTTTCTTTTTAATCAATCTGGCTAGTGGTCTGTCTATTTTGTTGATCTTTTCAAAAAACCAGCTCCTGGATTTATTGATTGTTTGAAGGGTTTTTTGTGTCTCTATCTTCTTCAGTTCTGCTCTGATCTTAGTTATTTCTTCTCTTCTGCTAGGTTTTGAGTTTTTTTGATCTTGCTCCTCTAGCTCTTTCCATTTTGATGATAGGTTGTCGATTTTAGATCTTTCCTTGCTTCTCATGTGGGCATTTATTGCTATATATTTTCCTCTAGATACTGCTTTAAATATGTCCCAGAGATTCTGGTATGTTGTGTCTTCATTCTCATTGGTTTCAAAGAACATCTTTATTTCTGCCTTCATTTCATCATTTATCCAGTCGACTTTCAAGAGCCAGTTGTTCAGTTTCCATGAAGCTGTGTGGTTCTGAGTTGGTTTCTGAATTCTGAGTTCTAACTTGATTGCAATGTGGTCTGAGAGACTGTTATGATTTCCATTCTTTTGTATGTGCTGAGGAGTGATTTACTTCCAATTATGTGGTCAATTTTAGAGTAGGTGTGATGTGGTGCTGAGAAGAATGTATATTCTGTGGATTTGGGGTGGAGAGTTCTGTAAATGTCTATTAGGTTTGCTTCGTCCAGTTCTGAATTCAAGTCCTGGATATTCTTGTTAATTTTCTGTCTTGTTGTTCTTTCTAATATTGACAATGGGGTGTTAACGTCTCCCACTATTATTGTGTGGGAGTCTAAGTCTCTTTGTAAGTCATTAAGAACTTGCTTTATGTATCTGGGTGCTCCTGTATTGGATGCATATATATTTAGGATCATTAGCTCTTCCTGTTGCGTTGCTCCTTTTACCATTATGTAATATCCTTCTTTGTCTCTTTTGATCTTTGCTAGTTTAAAGTCTATTTTATCAGAGACGAGAATTGCAACTCCTGCTTTTTTTTCGCTCTCCATTTGCTTGGTAAATCTTCCTCCATTCCTTTATTTTGAGCCTTTGTGTATCCTTGCATGTGAGATGGGTTTCCTGGATACAGCGCACCAATGGGTTTTGGCTTTTTATCCAATTTGCCAGTCTGTGTCTTTTGATTGGTGCATTTAGCCCATTTACATTTAGGGTTAATATTGTTATGTGTGAATTTGATCCTGCCATATTGATGCTAGTTGGCTGTTTTGCCCGTTAGTTGATGCAGTTTCTCCACTGTGTTGATGCTCTTTACCATTTGGTATGTTTTTGGAGTGGCTGGTACTGGTTGTTTTTTTCTATGTGTAGTGCCTCTTTCAGGAGCTCTTGTAAAGCAGGCCTGGTGGTGATGAAATCTCTGAGTACTTGCTTGTTCATAAAGTATTTTATTTTTCCTTCACTTATGAAGCTTTGTTTGGCTGGATATGAAAGTCTGGGTTGAAAGTTCTTTTCTTTAAGGATGTTGAATATTGGCCCCCACTCTCTTCTGGCTTGCAGGGTTTCTGCTGAGAGATCTGCTGTGAGTCTGATGGGCTTCCCTTTGTGGGTAACCTGACCTTTCTCTCTGGCTGCCCTCAGTATTTTCTCCTTCATTTCAACCCTGGTGAATCTGACGATTATGTGCCTTGGGGTTGCTCTTCTTGAGGAATATCTTTGTGGTGTTCTCTGTATTTCTTGGACTTGAATATTGGCCTGCCTTGCTAGGTTGGGAAGTTTTCCTGGATAATATCCTGGAGTATTTTCCAGCTTGGATTCGTTCTCTCCATCACATTCAGGTACACCTATCAAACATAGATTAGGTCTTTTCACATAGTCCCATTTTTCTTGGAGACTTTGTTCATTCCTTTTTACCCTTTTTTCTCTAATCTTGCCTTCTTGCTTTATTTCATTGAGTTGATCTTCGACCTCTGATATCCTTTCTTCTGCTTGGTCAATTAGGCTGTTGAAACTTGTGCATGCTTCGCAAATATCTTGTGTTGTGTTTCTCAGCTCCATCAATTCACTTATATTCCTCTCTAAGTTGTTTATTCTCGTTAGCATTTCGTCAAATCTTTTTTCAAGGTTCTTAGTCTCTTTGCATTGGGTTAGAACATGTTTTTTTTAGCTCACAGAAGTTTCTTATTACCCACCTTCTGAAGCCTGATTCTGCCAGTTCGTCACACTCATTCTCCATCCAGCCTTGTTCCCTTGCTGGTGAGGAGTTGTGATCTCTTGTAGGAGGGGAGGTGTTCTGGTTTCGGGTGTGTTCGTCCTTTTTGTGCTGTCCCTTTTCTTCCCATCTTTGTGGATTTTCCACCTGTTGTCTTTGTAGTTGTTGACATTCAGATTGGGTCTCTGAGTGGATGGCCAGTTTATTGATGATAAAGTTATTTCTTTCTGTTTCTTAGTTTTCCTTCTGACATTCAGGCCCATGTGCTGTAGAACTGCTGGGGTCCACTCCAGACCCTGCTGCAGAACAGTAAATGTTGTTGCCAGTTTCTTCTTCTGGTATCTTTGTCCCAGTAGGATACCCACCAGATGTCAGTCTGCGCTCTCCTTTATGAGGTGACTCTTTGGATATACAGGGGTCAGGGAGCTGCTTGAGGAGACAGTCTGTCCTTTATAGGAGCTCACCTGCTGAACAGTGAGCTGCTTTGTTCATTCAGAGCTGCTGGGCAGGTACGTTTAAATCTGCTGCAGCAGAACTCATAAACCCCCTTCCCCCAACCCCGTACTCTGTCCCAGGGATTTAGGGCTTTATTTATGAGTTTCTGTTGTGCTGCTGTCTTTTTTCAGGGCTGCCCTGCCCTGCCAGGAGGCAGCCTAGTCACTGTCTGCCTGCAGAGGCTTTGCTGAGTAGCTGTGGGCTCCACCCAGCTGCTGTGTGAACTTCCCTGCAGTCCTGTTTATACGGGTATAGTTAGAACTGCCTCGGCAATGGTGGCCAACTGCTATAATGGTGGACTCTCTCCGTAATGACGGGCTGCCTCAGCAATGGTGGACTACCTCCATAGTGGTGGAATTCCTCAGTAATTGTGGATGCCCCTCCCACACAGAGCTGGACCATCCCAGGTTCAGCTGTGCTTGCTGTGAAACTCTCAATCCAATGTGATTCAGATTGCTGTTTTTTTGTGGGGGTGGGACCAGCTGAGCCTGATCACCTGGCTCTCTGCCTCAGAGTGAACGGTTGACTGTCTCCCAGGTGTTCAGTCGCCTGTTGAAAAGGTGCCAGGATCTGTACGATTTCCTGTGCGGTGACCCACTGCACCTGCACCAGCTGAAACAGGCATGCTGAGATTCGTGGTGCTTTTTTGCCCAGGAATCTCCTGGCCTGGCTCCCTGTTTCAGTCCCCTTTTCTATCAGTTGAATGGGCGACTGTCTTCCCGGAGCTCCAATTGCCAGAATGGTGCCCAGACCCGTATATTTTGTACAGAGAACCACTGCGCCGGGGCGCTGGCCAAAATAGCGGCATCTGCCAAAACAGCCCCGCAGGCTGAAAGAGCCTCACTGGCGACCCATGGGGCTCCTCCGCCTGGGAATCTCCTGGTCTGTGGGCAATAAAAATCCATTTGGAAATGCGACGTCCACTCACCCTCCATGCTTTCACCGGGAGCTGCAATCCTGAGCTGCTCCTAATCAGCCATCTTGGATCCTGGAATCCTAATTTTTAAAATGTCTCTAGAATCTGAGATGTATTCCTCTTTTCATTTTTGATATTATCTGTGCCTTCTTTTTCTTGGCCAGTCCTGTCAGAAGTGTATAAATTTGATTTAGTCCTCAAAAATCAACTTCTTCATTTGTTGATCATTTCTATTGTAGCTGTTTGTGTAACTTCCCTTATCTATGAAGCTGTGTAACTCTCATTTGTACAGCTGCAGGTATGTCTTGAGTAAGCACAAAGTGCAGCTTCTCTTGTTTATGTAACTGTGGGTCTGTTTTAGGTAAGCCCCCCACCTCCCTGTGCAAGTTCCCATGGAGCCCACCATGTAAATACCTGAAAAGGGGAAGAAATTTTTTCCTGAGAGCCTGCTAATCACACAAAGAACAAGGGCTCTATGCTGGGCCTTGCTTTCTTATCAGTGCAGCTGCAGTTTGGTTTTTCCCCAGGCTGCTCTATTTATGCCTATAGCTGTGATTTTTCAGGCCATTTCTCTGAGGACTAGCTTCAGTGGTTTGCCTAAGTGATTTTTCCTTTTCTTCTCCCTCACTATTTCAACTTATTTAAAATACAAGCAAGTTGTCTTGTTTCTGGGTCAGCTTTGCAGACCTGCAGTCCTGTTATACCTGACATGGAAGCTACAGCATATGCTATGTGGGAGAGTGAGGAAGCACTTGCCTAGAAAATCAAGACAGTTGTGTCCAGTTCTGTTTTGGCCCCAAGTTAGTCACCCTAAGTAAGACATCTTCTCAAGGTCCTTATTTTCTAATTAAAAACAATAAGTGAACTGGAACTCATTTTTTAAGGTCCTTTCCAGCACTGTGATTCTAAGGTGACTTGCAGGTTCATCTAACAAGATATAACACTCATACTCTGTTTATGTTAAGTCATTTCTGAAATATTTATTATCAGAAACCATCCAACATGAAATATGAATTATTACAATGTTTTCTCCATGTTTCAAGTCAGAAACAGTAATTCAGAACTCAACTAGCAAACTAATTTTTTAAGTCAAAATAAGATGACCAGAATCATAAAACTTAGCACAGTATTAAATCTAGAAAAAATAAAATAGGATGTTAAACCCAAAAGAGCATTTGACAGAAAGAGGGAGGGGACAGAGAAGGAGAGGAGAGAAAGAGAGAGAAAAGGAGGAAGAAGAAGATTGAGAGATGGAGAGTGTGAGATTGAGACTTCTTATAAAATATATTAATGACAATTACTCCTTAACAACTGTGCATTGAGAATATTTGAACATATTTTTATAAGCTGGGGAAGAAATCCAGCCCGAATGTCAAAACACAGAGCCAAAATGATTCTGAATTTCCTAAAGACACATTTTGAGAAACAGAAAACTTCTTTCCCATTTCTGTAACCCCCAGTACCAAAAGGGAGCATTTTACATTATGCACATCTCAGTAATATTTATAGAAAATAAATGCCAAGACATTTATAATTTAATTTAATATTTCCTCTTCAATTTGTTTTTTATAGCAGACATATTAATTTCATTTTGAACATGATATGCCAAATATCCTGAACTTCCAGGAATGAAATCATGTAGCTCCCCAAGGAATTTCTTCATGGCATCAATTGCTATATAACCTGCAAAGCAAACGAACAAACAAACAAAAAAATATATATATATACTTGCAACACTCGCATACTATCTGCTTTTTAGTATCTTTGATTTATTAGAGTTAAGAATTCTAAAGAATGTTTTTAGAAAAGAAGTAAAAAGAATACATAGTACCAGTGAGAAGATTCTGCATGAAACCCATATAATTACCAGGGAACACCTCCTCTTCCCCTCCCCACGACTTTCTGCCACCTTTTAAAAGATACTGGATTAAAACCACTTCGACTATTAAGATTGTGATGTCTAGGTTGGGGCTAGAACATAAATGTAGTTAGACCAAAATAACTGGGAAGTGTATCTAATTTTAGAGGGTAATCACTTAGAGGGTGATCCATCCAACTAACTTCTAACAGTGAAAACAGTTCATCTTCCCTGTTTCAGCAGGCAATGTTTCCTGCACTGTTAACACTGAAATAGGATTCTTTTAACAAAAAAAATTAAGGAAAAATTGATGTTACTGCCCAGTCAACAGAGATAATGGGTGAGAGTAATTTTGATGTCAATTAGTAATCCAAAATAGACATAAGTCATATAAAAATGCTGCCTAGAATGAAGATAGCTAAGGACTCTATGACTAAGCAATATTAACTTGATATCAATTGCTTACTATTTAAATGATTATATTTTATGTGTAACCCAAGTGTTTGGGCTTTTACTAAAATTGAAATCTAAAAGTAAATTTGTGTGAAAAAAATTCTAATAGCGCTCAAGGACAACTAAATTTAGAACACCGTACCATCAAGATCAACAGGATGTCTATGCATATTGTTTAATTGTTTCTAATAAAAAATAATAAATTCACAGTTAATAAATTATGAATCCAAGCATATAAAATTGACTAGCATCTTCAAAGATATTTTAATCATGGTCATTTACTTTAGGAGCTCGTGGAGCACAGTTTTTAAAGTAAAGTAACAGTATTACTATACTCCATATGAATTCATAATCTTTGCCTAATGGCTACATATCTGTGTAAAATAAACTAGTGCAGAAAAATATCACTACTAATGTTTAGTTAATTGCACATATACACTGTGTGAAATCTCTAAAGATGTGTGAGGATAGGAATTTAAAAATTACATTAGTAAAAAATATTCCTGAAAGTATTAGAAGGATAGGACATTTATAGCATCAGAAATGGATTATTGTAGCATTTTTGAATAGTTCAGGGCTTTAGCATGAAATGGATAAAAACCTAATTTAAACTAATTTAAACAAAAAGGGAGTTTTCTGGAAGGACATTGCTATATCATCCGAGCTGTGAGGAAGGTAGACATATTGCTGGGACTCAGAGTTAACTAAAACCAGCTATGATAGCTCTCACCAGTCTCAAATTTTTAGTTTTTGTTTTGTTCTGTTTTTTGAGACAGGGTCTTATTTTGCTGCCCATGCTGGAGTGCAGTGGCATGATCATACCTCACTGCAGACTTGGTCTCAAGTTTTTCCTGTAGGTGTTAGCCTCATTTTTCTTTCTGGAGGCAAGTTGGCTTTCTTTTTATGGTAGAAATATGGCAAATGACAGCTCCTAGGTTTTACATCTTAGAGTTTTGTTCGCCTAAGTGAGAATGACTTGATTTACTATGTTCCATATCTGAAAATCTAGAAGATCTGCAATTAGCCCAGCTCACATCAGGCATTCATTCTGAAAGCAAAGGTTGAGAGTGGGGAGCAAGCTCATGTTTAAAAAATGCTGTTCCTGTGTTACTCGGATAAATTGGGAGGAACAAAGGAGTTTCTAAGAAAGGCAATATTGGTAGGCAATCACACATGCATCTGTGATAGCCAGCCACCCAGTGGCCCCAACTGATCCCCACCTCCTTATATTCAAAGTTTGCTATCATTTTGTACTTGGTTTGATCTGTATAACCAATGGCATATGACAGAAGTGATGCTACGTCATTTCTGAGAGGAGGATGTAAAAAAGACTATGGCTTTTGTCTTGGGCATGCTCCTTCTTATTCTTGGATTTTTTTTACTCTGAGGGAAGCAAGCTACCCATCATGTTGTGGATAGTCCTTATAGAGAGTCCTTACCCATTTGGTAAGGAGTTGAAGCCTTCCGCCAAAATCCAGCAAGGAGTCAACACCTGCCAATAACCACCTGAGTGAGTTTTGAAGTGGATTTTCCAGTCTCAGTTGTGCCTTGGAATGACTGCACTCCAGCTAACAACTTGACAGCACCCTCACAATAGACGAGGAGACAGAAGTACCCAGCTAAGACACCCCTGAATTTCTGACCTTAGAAACTGAAATAATAAATATTCATCAGGCCAGGTGCGATGGCTCATGCCTGGAATCCCAGCACTTTGGGAGGCCAAGGCAAGAGGATTGCTTGAGCCCAGGTGTTCGAGACCAGCCTGGGCAACATAGTGAGACCTCATTTCTATAAAAAATAAATAAATAAATATTCATTGTTTTATGCTGCTAAGTTTCAGAGCACTTTGATTTACATCAATAAATAACTAATACAGCATCTATTATAGATTTCCAAACTTTTTAATTATCAGAACATTTTTATTGGGAAATTGTTACCAGCAAAGTATTTACAATTATTAGTAATTGCTTTCCTACTCTTATTAATCACATATGTAACTGTCAATCAGAACTTCTTATCATGGGTGATGACAAGTGATATTAGTCTGAGAGAATTTAATTCTAGTCAAAAGCTGAAAATAAAACAAAAAATCTTTTGATGTTTTAGAGAATATTTGGCAATGTCTAGGGACATTTTTGGTTGTCACAACTGAGGGAGAGAGTGGTGATGCTATTGGTATCTAGTGGGCAGAGGCCAGAGTAAATATTCTATAATGCACAGGACTGAAACTTACCTACCCTCACCCAAACAAAGAATTATCTGGCCTAAAATGCCAACAGCACCAAAACTGAGAAACCCAGTTCTAGGCTATTGCCCCAAGTTGTATTTTCTATAACTAATGACCACACAATTCATTCTATTTTCAGAGATTTAATAGTCACTGAGTTGAACCCAACCCATTCCGAGGAAGAGATAGTCAAGTTTTAGTCACAAAAATTTGAGGGAATCTGTGGGGATCGCTCCCGTGTGAGGCCCCTGGGAAATGGGCCTTGCCATAGGGTGAGCTTGAGCCCAGACACAGATCCCCGGTTGAGCTGAGGTAAAGCAGGAACCGAGAGAGGGACTATGTTATTCTAAATAATTAACAGACATTACTTTATAGATATGAGGACTTGGGAGGCAATGTGTCCACTTTCGGCTTCTTATGGTTTATTGCTTGATTGTGTTCATTTTGGACCCTTGTTACCTTCATTGTAAAGTATTAACTTAAGTATTTACACTTGGTAACTTACCATAACTTACTGGGTGTAACTGTAACTTACTTCTCATAGCTTACTGGGCATGACTGTAACTTACTTACATTGATCTATTGGGCGTAACCTAATTACTGAAAGTAACCTACTTACAGGGCGTAACCTACTTAATGGGATTAACTTACTTACTGGGCGTAACTTAGTGGGTGTAACTTGCTTACTATAACTTAAGTACTTGATCTGGTGTAAACAACTTTGACTTCAGAAAAGTATATAAGGAAACATATTGCAAAAATAAAATTGCTGCTTGGACATAGCCTAAGCCAGCCCTCCAGACTCTGCTTTTCTGTTTTCTTTCAGTTCTGCGCACTCTCTCCCTCAGGTTGAACGAGACATCTATGTTGGCGGTCTCGGGGACTCCTGCAGGTCAGTAGTCCCCTGGCAGACGTGCTGGACCCCAACAAAAATTGATACCGCAGCCTAACTCTTAGTCAATAAATGTTTAATTAACATAAGCTAATTTTTTCCAACAAGAAGTTATTCCTTCCTGTGCAAGCAGATGACCATGACAAAAAAAGAGAAGTACTTGTCATTTCGCATCAAAATTAAAAACAAATAAAGTATCTCTAAAAATGAAGATTTCTTCCAAGAAAAAATTGCTATTAAATATTTAATGCAGAAATACAAAAAGGGAAATATTATTCAATTGAGGAAATTAAAAATTTTTACTTTAGGCCAGGCGCGGTGGCTCATGCCTGTAATCCCAGCACTTTGGGAAGCCGAGGCGGGTGGATCACCTGAGGTCAGGAGTTCCAGACCAGTCTGACCAATATGGTGAAACCCCATCTCTTTTTTTAAAAAAAAAAAAAAATTTACTTTAGATCTACCAGTAAAATTAACAACAGAGTATTACCACAGGTTAAAATTATACTTTAAAAATTCTGACTAATTTTTAAATTGTTTTTATGTTATACTGTTATGTCTTTTTGAAAAATCAGACTGTTTCTTTATCAAGCAATAACCCATAAAGCAGCACTATTACATGTTCAAATGTAGGTATATGTCCTTATCTATGGCTGATTTTAATATTTAATCATTGATCTTTTAAATATATTAATAAATGTTTGCTAAGTCAAAATGAATAGGGGTAGTAATATGACAAGACGTCTAGGAAACTATGGACTAGCTGCAAGAGGTAGTTTTAACATTGCTAAATAAAGAGAATGATAAATATACAGATTATTTTTTAAATAAGCTTTCAACAACCCATACTTAAAAAATTTCTCTTTTAAAAACAATTTAAAAAAAAATCTCTGTATTTAAAATTATTATTGTTTGGAAAACTCTGCCCCTACCGCAAAATCTCTCTCTCTTTCCCTCCCCCACAAAGAGGCTCCCTTATCTCTCACTTTACATACCGGCCCTAGCCCTCCCGCCGCCCAGCTTCCCGCCCAGCAGTTCAAACTGACCAACAGTTGCCCACCACCTCGGCTTTTGGCTTCCCCACCCCCCAGCCCTTCAGCCCCCTATAAAACAACCCTGCCCCTCTGAGCAGCGCGGCCATTTTTCCTTTTCGTCCCGGCTGGCCTGCCCGGAGGCTCTTTCCTCTCAATAAAGCCTGAACTTAAGGAATTTCCTCTAGCCTGCGGTCCGGTTTCTTTCCCAATGAGCCCAGTCTTCCCGCAGAGGGTAGGTCGGACAAATGGTGCCGGAAACCCGGGACGGGAGCTGAGGCCGTTGGCCCGGCCACGGCCCCCCTCCCCGACCTACCCAACACTGGCCCTGCCACCTCCACGTTCCGATTAAGGTAAGCCAAGTTTTTCTTGCTTTGCCTTCCCCCGCTTCCCGTCTCCTCTTCCTACAGCATGGTGCAGTTGCTCCCTCCGGCGTTCCGCACGGACTCCTTGCCTAGTCTCGGCCGAGCCAAGGTAGTCTTCCATTCCCGCTCCAGGAGCCTTCCGAGGGACAGCCGCCAGACGGGGGACGCCCCTCTGACCGCTTCCCTTTCCGTACTTAATTGTACTCCGGGGAATTTGCAACGAACGGGGACGCCTTTTCGTTGCATCTGCCCATCCGCGCCGGAGAGTCTGTAGCTGCGCCTGCCATGGGAAATTCGGAGTCCAAAATACCTCTGAGCACCCCCCTTGGGTGCTTGCTGCGAATTTTACCAAATTGGGATATTCCCAAACCCTCAGAAAGAAAAAGCTTATTTTCCTGTCCCAGGTGGCTTGGCCCCAATACAAACTCAGTAACCAGTCACATTGGCCCCCGACTGGCACTTTTGATTTCAACACCCTCCGAGATCTCGACGATTTTTGTCGCCGCGCGGGTAAGGACAATGAAATTCCTTACGTCCAGGCTTTTTGGGACCTCCGTACCCACCCCAACCTATGTTCTTCCTGCTCCACCTACCAAATCCTCTTATCTCGAACCCCCCATAAATCTTCCTCCACTACCTCTCCCCCACCCTACTCCTCACCGGAGGATCTGCCTGAACATCTGTCCTCTCCTGCCAATCTCAGCAACCACTCGCCATCAACGGCACGCCCTTCCCCCACTCCCTCTGCACCTCCTACCTCAGAGGCCATGCCTCGCTCTCCCTCTACTCCCTCCGAGCCCCCTCCCTCAGAGGCTGCACTTCCTCTTGCCTCTCCGGTGGCGGCCCACACCCGCTCCCACCAGCCAGCTATCCTGGCCCCACTCCGAGAAGTAGCAGGCGCAGAAGGTTTAATCAGGGTCCATGTTCCTTTCTCACTCCAAGACCTGTCCCAAATTGAGAAACGTTTAGGATCCTTCTCAGCCGACCCATCCACCTATATTAAAGAATTCCAATACCTCACTCAAGTATAAGAAGCCCTAGTCCGGTACACTCAACTAGATCCAGCCTCCCAAAACGGGGCCACTGTATTAGCCTCCCATTTTATCTCCCAATCAGCACCCGACATAAGAAAGAAACTAAAGAAAGCAGAAGAGGGGCCAGAGACTCCCATCCAAGACCTGGTAAAAATGGCCTTTAAAGTATTCAATGCCAGGGAAGATGCGGCTGAGGCTGCCCGCCAAACTCGCATGAAGCAGAAGGCTGCCCTCCAGACCCAAGCCCTAGTGGCGGCTCTAAGGCCAGCAGGGAACCAGAAGCCCAAGGCCGAAACCCATGCCCCTCCAGGGGCATGTTTCAAATGTAGAAAGGAAGGACACTGGTCCCGAGCCTGTCCACAACCATGGCCACCAACTAAGCCTTGCCCTATCTGTCGGCTCCCGGGACACTGGAAGTCAGACTGCCCCAGCTTCCCCAGGGTGCCGGTTCCTCAAAACAGACACACTGGCGTTACGCAGCCGGCGGTCACCCTCAGTAGGGAGGAGCCTGCTTGCTAGGAGCCGACCTCCGAGGGAGCTCCGTTCCCCAGTCTACTAGGGCTGCTAGATGACTAGCGGGGCCCTGGCTTTCCGACTCCGGTTACCCTCGCCGAGCCTAGGGTCACAAGACATGGGGGCTACCTACTCCGCACTTCCTTCTTATTCTGGCCATCTCACCCCTTCCCAGGTCTTAGTCATGGGAATCAATGGGACCCCGAGTATCCCCTATCAAACCCCACCACTCATGTGCTCATATAACTCCACTCCCTTCACCCACTCCTTTTTAGTAATCCCCACCTGCCCAGTTCCCCTTCTGGGGTGAGACATCCTTTCAAAGCTGAAGGCCGTCATAACCTTCCCCACCGCCAGCCCACACAGCCTTTTTCTCCTAGCCCTCAATACTCTGCCTCAGAACTCCAGACCCTCCAGTCTACCCCCGGGGTACGGTTCAAGGATGACTGGGCCTTCAAGCATAACCTCCTCATCCTCCCTGAAAAGCAAAGGTACCAGATAATCCAAGACATCCATAATTCACTCCACATTGGGCCTAAAGCCTTATACCGATTCCTCAACCCACTTTTTCACCCCCACCGCCTCCTCAGTACCATACAGGAAGTCCAGTCCTCATGTACTGTCTGCGCAAAAACTAATTCCCAGGGTTCCTGTCATCCCCGGCGCCAGCTTCATCAGCTACGCAGGTTCCTACCTGGCCAAGACTGGCAAATTGATTTCACCCATATGCCAAAGCACAAACAGTACCGGTATCTGCTAACCATTGTTGACACCTTTTCAGGCTGGATTGAAGCCTCTGAGTCTGCCGGGACAGTAGCCACTCATCTCATTCAAGACATCATCCCACGCTTTGGACTCCCAGCTACCATACAGTCAGACAACGGCCTAGCCTTTATCTCCAAAGTCACTAATGCCGTTTCTACCTCTCTAGGAATTCAGTAGAAGCTACATGCCGCCTACCATCCCCAGTCCTCTGGTAAGGTAGAACGGGCCAATGGCCTAATAAAGGAGCATCTGACCAAGCTCATGCTTGAGCTCCGCCAATCCTGGGTAACCTTACTTCCTATCGCCCTCACCAGAGTAAGAGCAAGCCCCCGGGGCCCATCACAGCTTAGCCCATTTGAGCTGCTGTATGGTTGCCCCTTCCTGCTTTCAACTCCCCCACCGCCAGAGACTACTCCTCTAGACGGCTACCTCCCCTACTTTACTCAGGATTAGGAGGAGGGGCACTAGTCCACTCTCACCTGGCCATAGCCCGACTGACCTCACAACTCCAAGCGGCTATTGATGACTCTACTGAGTCTTTAGCATCACTCCAACGACAGATCACCTCAGTTGCCCAAGTTGCCTTGCAGAACCGAAGAGCCCTGGACCTGCTCACTGCTGAACGAGGAGGGACCTGTATCTTCCTACAGGAAGAGTGCTGTTACTACATCAATGAATCCGGCCTAGTAGAAACCCGAATCGAGAGCCTCCAGAAACTCAAAACTAACCTGCAGAGTCAGAAGTTCTCGGCTGAAGCCACGGCGTGGTGGTCTTCCTCTATGTATACCCTCTTGTCCCCATTGCTTGGGCCCCTAGTAGCTGTTTGCCTAATCTTACTTATTGCTCCTTGCTTTCTACAGTTCCTATAGCGGCGCTTTCAAGAACTGACTCGAGTCACCATCCACCAGATGCTGCTCCAACCCTACCCTGAACGAGTGCAAGGAACAGACCTCTCCCCGAACATCCAGGCTCGTTAAGAAAAGAGACCTCTTCAGAACCCCCATCGACCCTTGTCAGCAGGAAGTAGCTAGAGAGACAACCGACGCCCCTGACCCCCTCTTTTTCTTTTCTTTAAGGAGTCGGGAATGTTTGGAAAACTCTGCCCCTACCGCAAAATCTCTCTCTCTTTCCCTCCCCCACAAAGAGGCTCCCTTATCTCTCACTTTACATACCGGCCCTAGCCCTCCCGCCGCCCAGCTTCCCGCCGCCCAGCTTCCCGCCCAGCAGTTCAAACTGACCAACAGTTGCCCACCACCTCGGCTTTTGGCTTCCCCACCCCCCAGCCCTTCAGCCCCCTATAAAACAACCCTGCCCCTCTGAGCGGCGCGGCCATTTTTCCTTTTCGTCCCGGCTGGCCTGCCCGGAGGCTCTTTCCTCTCAATAAAGCCTGAACTTAAGGAATTTCCTCTAGCCTGCGGTCCGGTTTCTTTCCCAATGAGCCCAGTCTTCCCGCAGAGGGTAGGTCGGACAATTATCAATGACTCCACTGAATACTACTCAGATCAAAGTATCTAAATATCCATCTCAGTCAACACAATTCAAATCCCAATGACCACTTTTCAATTGGCTCCCTTAGTTCTACCCTCTCTATGTCAGCCTTGGTTAGTTGTCTTCTCTTTATGAAGGGCACAATAGAAAACCCAAATATGGATCTTGGACACCTGGATAATCCCTGTATAGGCTTCTGGGCATCTGTGAGCCTTTTACATGTAAAGTTTTTTATATGTAAAGTTTGTGTGTTATGTTTTTGTTTGTTTTTAAAAATATGTATATATCCGATATTGAATGGCATGGCAGTGTGTGTTATGTTTGTATGTGTGGATGTTAAGAAAAGGGTCCTATGTTTGAACAGATTCTTTAAAGAAACTATGGTTGAGGCTGTTCATATAATTTGTCTTCCAAACTGGGACACTTGAGAGTTAAAAACTAATGCCCAAATAACTGCATAAACTGAGACTGTCTCATGTAAATAGGCACATGTGGTCACCCTACCTAGAGACCATTGTTTTAGCACAGAAAATATAAAAGCATATTCCTGGGTCAATTCTGCAGGTAATTTATTCAATATATAAATGGTGTCTCCTGCGTTACCATGCTTAATAGAGAAGGCATTACTCCCTAGGTATTTGAAATACAATAGCTTTATTCAACATAATACTCCTTTGTTTCTTTCTTTCTTTTTTTTTTTTTAAACTACATAAATGCTTTAGAATGCAACAGGAATACTCCCTTGTTTCTTCCCTACCTAAGTTTTCTCTAAATTTTATTTTAAACTACCTGTTACCATGTTGTTCACTGGGTAATTCTGTAGCGGGAAATACATCTGCTTTTCTACAGCTGGAGTTCTTATAAAATGCTTTTCTGTGCTGTAAAATAAAACATACAGAAAGTCACATTTTCATATATATAGTATGTATGTCTATATGTATTACACTTATATTAAAGTATAATTATAAATAAATATAATAAATATTTACATTTATTGTAGTATATTACACACACGTATATATTTGTACTTGTTTTACAAGTGAGAACTTATTCCAGGCAGTATATATAGTGATTGTTAAAAAATACATAGAATGCCTCATGAATTTGCATGTCATCCTTGAGCAGGGGCTGTGCTAACCTCTGAATAGTTCCAATTCTGGTATATGTGCTGTCAAAATGAGCACATGTATAGTAATTTAATGGCTCTTTGATCAGACTTCAGTCTTAATGGGTGAAAATGTTAATCATGAACTTCTTTTGTGCTTTTAAGTAATATAAAGACCCATATAGATATTCTAGTGTTCTTGGGCACTTCACAAAACAAGTATTTGAGTCTATAGAGGCCTGAGTCTTTTTCTCACTATCCCTAAAAGTACAGTAATGCAATACTACATATTTAGACAAAATGCACATATACATATGTAATATTAAATCTGCCGAGAGAAAAGCATAGTAATTTCTATTTTAAATGATCACAACGTTTCTATTACTTAGTGTTTAAATAATTGGACCTCTATTAACTAGTACTTCCATAGTTTACCATAACAAATAAAAATTGATGTCTGGGTCAGGCACGGTGGCTCATACCTGTAATCCCAGCACTTTTGGAGACCGAGGCATGTGGATCACCTAAGGTCAGGAGTTCAAGACCAGCCTGGCCAACATGATGAAACCCCATCTCTTGTAAAATACAAATCAGCTGGGTGTGGTGCCATGCACTTGTAATCCCAGCTAGTCAGGAGGTTGAGGCAAGATAATCACTTGAACCCAGGAGACAAAGGTTACAGTGAGCTGAGATCATGCCCCTGCACTATAGCTTGGGCAACAGAGTGAGACTCCATCTCAAAAACAAAAAAAATTGATGTATAGGAAAACCATCACATAAATAGGATTTTGAAGTGACTTCTGAGGTTTGTTTTTTTTCTTAAGTTGTATAGTATAATCAATTATATTCTAATTTTTAAAAGTAAAAGGTGGCCAGGAGCAGTGGCTCATGCCTGTAATCCCAGCACTTCGGGAGGCTGAGGTGGGTGGATCACTTGAGGTCAAGAGTTTGAGTTCAGCCTGGCCAACATGGTTAAACCCTGTATCTACTAAAAACAAGAAAATTAGCCAGGCATAGTGGCAGGCAGCTACTCAGGAGGCTGAGGCAGGAGAATTGCTTGAACCTTGGAGGTGGAGGTTGCAGTGAGCCAAGATCATGCCACTGCACTCCGGCGTGACAGAGCGAGACTCTGTCTCAAAAAAAAAAAAGCTAAAAGGTTTTCAACTAAAAGATCCTATTTTCATTCATGTCCTTTTGAACAGTCACTATTCAAAAATAACAATGTTGACTACACTTAGACCACATATAATTAATAATACTGTATAAAAATAAAAACAAAAATCTCGATAATTAAAAATTAGTCATCCTTAAATGTATTATTTTCCTAAAACTCTAAAAGTACACTGAGTAATAGCAAAGGCTTTATTTTCAATTTTTAAAAAGCTTCTATTTTATTTAAACTCTTACAAGACAAACTATACTCATTAGGATGAGATGTTACAAATAAAGCAAAATCATGTTCCCAGAAAAGTCAGAGACCACCCATTATTTATCATGGCTCTAAAAATTCTGGCCAAACAAGAAGAGCTAAAGGGAAAAAGAGGTGGGAGTAGGATGAAACGGAAGAGATATTGTGAAAGAAGGAATACTTTCATTATTAACAATTGATATGACTATGCACCTTAAGAGCCAAGATAATCGACTAGAATATCCTTCAAATCTTAAAGAATTCCAAATGGGTAGATATAAGACAAATATCCTCAATTCAGTAACTCAGAGTGGCTGCCTTCGCTGGTAAAGTGTAGGTATCTTCAAGGAAACTGGAACCCATAGTGATCCCTGGCAATCCGATGTTTTTGGCTGTTTCTAAACATTAGGGAATGGAAACTCCGTGGTGGCCCTCAGTAGCCTGGTTTTAGGCTCTCATGGATGCACTGATAGAAAATGTTACCTGTATGCTAATTAAAAAAAAAAACAACCCAGCAACTCCAGTTTCAACATATTGAGGAGATGCTTCTGTTGCTTCCCATTTTGCCCATATGAAGACATCAAAAAAGGACTTAAGGATTCAGAGAAAGAGAAACCTTATGTTAAAGAAAATAAGATTTTTGTAAGAAACAAGTTTTGTGGAACAGCAACAAGTAACTAAGGCCTATTATGTATATTGAAAGATTTGCATTGGTAGAGATGATTTAAAGAGCAAATTGGATAAAATGAGTAAACACAACTCTGAATCTTTAAAAGTATTGAATGAACAGATGTAATCTAAAGAAGTAGAACTCTAGCTAAGGACAGGTGAAAACTCAGCTGGTGATGAGGAATTTCAATCTACCTTTATCAAACTGGGAGGTGGAAGTTAAGCTGTGACCTGAAGGTCCATGGTTTGGAACAAAATTGATGAGGAAAGAATGTAATGATGTCAAAACAGAACTTCTCAAAAGCCAAACAAACCTATCTGTATCAGGAAGACAATCTGAAGAGCAGAGATCTCTGAAGAGTAAGAACTTCAAGTGATAATACACAGAATGCATACTGGCAACTGAAGAGATAAATGTCTAATTAACATCTGGTGACTCAAGTACAGGCTGAACTACTAAGTAAACTAAAAACCCCAACTGCAATCAAGAAAGCCTGTACCTCAGAAGGATGCATTGAAGATCCTCAGAAAGACAGCATAAAACTGAACATGAATAATTTTACTGCAGCATACACAAGACATTCCCTTCTCTCACCAAATGGCAAAGCTCTTTGTTATACTACATCTTCCCCTTTACCAGGAGATAAAAAGCTTTTATCAGAGAAAGCAGTCCTCCAGTCATGGACAGATAATCAGAGAGCTATTCCTAATGAGGGCACAAACTTATTCTCTAGAAGATCATTTTGGGTATTCCCAAGCCCTCCTGACTCATGTAAGACAGCATTTAGGGAAATTAAAATTTTGCCTTTACCAACATGCCACCACTGCATTACTTGGATCAACATAATCCAAATTTCCTTTGTAAGATTTAACTCTTAAGAGATTCATCATTTGATCATAAGGACACTCTCTCAGTGGTTCTCTCAAGAAATTACTTAACAAACTAAACAGATTTTGATTACAATTTTGTAGAGTTCTTCAGTACATGTATTTGAACATACTGTATGATATTATGTAGTTTATTTTCAGTATGAAAGAATGCCCTCTAGCTCCATATTCTAAGAAACAGATATATGCTTTTTTTTTTTTTTGATACATGGCCTCATTCTTTCACCTTGGTTGAAGCACAGTGGCATGACCATAGCTAGCTCACTGCAACCCTCAACTCCTGGGCTTAAGTAATCCTCCTGCTACAGCCTCCCAAGTAGCTAAGACTATAGAAGCACACCACTACACCCAGTTAATTTTTTTTTTATCTTTTGTAGAGACTGGGTCTCTCTGTGTTGCTCAGGTGCTGGTCTTGAACTCTTGGCCGCAAGTTATCCTCCTGCCTCAGCCTTCCAAAGTGCTGGGATTACAGGTGTGAGCCACCATGCCTGGCCTGCTACTATACTAATTAATAAATACCTTGAGCCCAGAAATTCAAGACAGCCTCAGCAACATGGTGAGACCCCATCTTGACCAAAAAAAAAAAAAATGTTTAATTAGGCTGGGTGAGTTGGCACACACCTGTAATCCCAGCACTTTGGGAGGCCTAGGAGGGTGGATTGCTTGAGGCCAGGAGTTTGAGACCAGCCTGGCCAACATGGCAAAAATCTATCTCTATTAAAAATACCAAAAAAAAAAATATTGGCCAGGCATGGTGGTACACACCTGAAGTCCCAACTACTCGGGAGGCTGAGGCATGAGAATTGATTGAATCCAGGAAGTGGAGGTTGCAGAGGTTGCAGTGAACCAAGATCATGCCACTGCACACAACAGAGTGAGATTCCATCTCAAAAAAATTTTTTTTATTTTTAAAAAATTAGCTAGGCATAGTGGCACACATCTGTGGTCCTAGCTACCCAGGAGGCTGAGGTGGGAGGACTGCTTGAGCCCGGGAGTTCCAGGTTGCAGTGAGCTGTGATCATGCTACCACACTGCAACTTGGGTGACACAGCAAGATCTTGTCTCAAACCACAAAAAATTAAGCAAATAAAATAAATAAACGTAAGGTGTTTAAGAAAGAAAAAAATTCCTATCTCTTTACACCATAAATTCCACATCTGAGAATTTACATTGAAGAAAACTATCTCAAAAAGGTAGAGCAAGATTTATTATTAAAAAGATGTTCATGGAGGTGTCATAAAAGTAACCAATTTTAGGCTAGGTGTGGTAGCTCATGCCAGTAATCTTAGTAGCATTTTGGGAGGCTGAGGAGGGAGGATCATTCACTTGAGCCTGAGAGGCTGAGGCTGCAGTGAACGGAGATTGTGCCACTGGACTCCAGCCCTGAGGGTTAGACTGAGCCTTTGTCTCAAAAAAAAAGTAACAACATAACAAAAAAGGTGGCTAAACAAATAAGATGAAAAGCTATATGCAGCCATTACACATCATAATATTTGTAATCCCAGCACTCTGGGAGGTTGAAGCAGGTGGATCACTTGTAATCCCAGCACTTTGGGAAGCTGAAGCAGGAATAGGAATTTGAGACCAGCCTGGGCATCATGGCGAAACCCCATCTCTATTAAAAATACAAAAAATTAGCTGATGTGGTGGCATGCGCCTGTAGTCCCAGCTGCTCAGGAGGCCAAGGCATGAGAATTGCTTGAACCCCAGGGGCAGAGGTTGCAGTGAGCTGAGCTCTCGCCACTGCACTCCAGCCTGGGCAACAGAGTGAGATTCTGTCTCAATTAAAAACAAAAAACAATGGTTATTACTGGGAGATGATTGGGGAGAAATTAGGATTTTATATTCTGTACTGCCTGATTTTTTTTTTAATTGTTTGTATGATGTAAAAAAAAAAAAAAAAAAATCAATGTCCCTAGTAGTATGCTAACAAATGCTTCAGTGGGTAAATTGAGGATATATTTTATCTATATTCACACTGCACCCTCTGGTGGTTCCACAAAGAAAAGGCTCTAAGTAGATACCTACCTAGGGTTTATTGAGATCCCTTGTCCATTTTTGTTGATGTTTTTGAATTGGACATATTTTTCCCAGATTTGTAATACTTCTTTGTATATTAAGGAAATTAATCCTTATAGGAGAAAAACTTGAAAAAATTATATAAATTAAATGATTATTTTTTATTTTGAAGAAAGATTACTATTTGATCTTTTTTATTACAGCAGCTAAATACCAGACTGCAGGGTACCCCAGTCCCATTCTCCCCTCTCCCCATTCTACACCTGGCTTTCTTTCTGTGTCCTGACCAAAAATCACAGAGTGCTTTGACTGTTCTGTGAGCCAGCCCAGTGCAGGGCTTTCCCATTGGGCTTCAACTCAAACCAGACACTGATAAAGGCATCTAGGTTGCTACTCAAAACACTGAAAGAAACTGGCCTCAGCCCTGAGCCAGATTCCTTAAACCCTCATAAAAACTCCAAACCCAGACTCCCTCACGGTGGATATACCTAGGCAGAACACCCCTTTCCTCTTGCTGTCCATTGCAAGGACTGGTACAGTACTCTACAAGTTCCCTTATTAAATGCTTTAGACTGATTGTTCTATTTTTTCTTTAGAATCCCAACTGACCTCAACTTGGGACAGTTTGGGATGCTCCCTTGTGGAGACTTACCTGCCTCCACTTTTAGGTTGACTCCAGCCACAGGTTTGGAGGGATAAAACATAGACTTTCAAATAAACAATGTTCCCCATGAATATTTGAAAACCAACTGAATCGGAAAATATGGAACTAGGACTAGATCATGTATAAGCCTTCAATGAGAAGGCCTCTCATAAATTGGTCCTAACATAATAGCAAGTCCGTTTTTGTCTTTTTAAATTTAATTTCTCATTTTTCTTTGAGACAGTATTGTTCAGGCTAGAATGCAGTGGCATGATCACAGCTCACTGCAGTCTCAACCTCTTGAACTCAAACAATCCTCCTACCTCAGCCTCCAAATAGCTGGGTCTACAGGCATGTGCTACTCTCCCCAGCTAATATTTTAAATTTTTTATAGAGATGGGTGTCCCTGTGTTGCTTAGGCTGGTCTCAAATTCCTGGGCTCAAGCAATCATCCAGCTTCAGCCTCCCTAAGTGCTGGGATTACAAGTATGAGCCACAATGTCCAGTCTAAATTTAATTTCTTAAACCAAAGTAATACATTATAAGTAATTTGGAAAGAAGAGGGTAAATCACTCATCACTTTTCATCCTAATAAAATTACTGTTAATATGTAGTCTATTTCCTTCCCATTAAAAAATATATTTTAAGATTCCTTTGTAGTTCGTAAGTATAACAAATTGGGTTTTCACAGAGATACATATAATTTTACAATAATTTATTAACTGTTATAATAACATAAATCCTTGTTTCCTTTCTGCAGAGATAGTATAGCATACTATACTATCTCATGGTATAGTATTTAAATGAATGAGCTCTTAGTTCAAATCTTGCTTCTCCCCTACTTAACAAAAGTTCATATGACTTGGGAAATTACTTATCTTTCTCTAATCATAGAGGTTTTTTGTATAATGGGAATGATTATAATGCTATTAATCTCATAAGAAAACTGAAAATTAAATAAGCACACAATCAGTGCTCATAGATGTCGCATAGATGTCTACATTTAATTGAATATCAATGAAGTTTATGAATTCATTACCTTTTGGATAATTCTTTTTTGTGTTCTGTTGCTAGTTCACGGCTTTCCCTAAGGGCCTTTATTTCATTTGCTGTTACTTCATCATGCTGTGGATAAAATAAGTCGAATTTTAAAAAAATTATCATACCAATGATCCAATCAGTAATTTTTTAAAAAAGGAAAAATAAACTGTCAATATATATATCAAAAGCCATAAAAATATTTACATATTTAGGTCCACTTGATCTAGCTTTGTGGAGAAAATTTACGAAATCTTGTCCACACACATATATAATTATGCTATATATATTTTAGAGATACATAAAGAAGACCAGAATTTAAAATATACCAGCTGTGGTTGTGTCAGATAAGTAAAACGCTGATTTTATTCTCCTTTCAATTATTAAAATTTTCTCTACTGTGGTTATAGTACTTTTTAGTCACAAAAATAAGGAAACAAAAAAACTTGCTACTAATTAAAACATTCTTAAAATCCTTGACTTAAGGATTCCTGGGCTTCTTGTGAGCTACAAATCAAAAAGATAAAGTAAGCTGAATAAATAATATTTCTCCTTCAAAAGGATAGTGAAGTATTTAGCTGTAAAGATATAAAAGAACTAAATGTATGTTAAGCTTTTTCTAAATATTTTGTGAAAGCAACTTAGATACTGGTACATGTCACATCTTCTATTTATTTTATATATCATTAAAAAGTTTCTATATTTAAATAAAAACTTAAAGTCACTCCAAACGAGAATAATGCTCCCCAGGTTTACCCTTAGCCTTATTGCCATTCAATAATATATATAATATAAGCTTCCACTTACATATGCTATGGTTACATTATTATAATCGGCTAATATTTATATCAACCAATATTTTGAAAGAATCAACAAACTCTTTTATCATGTAATAATATAACTTCAAGCGTCAACGTCAATACAAGCATGTTCTAGTAATTTTTTAGTAGAAAAATCATTGGATTGGGTTACAGCTGAGAAAATTTGGCTCTACTTTGCTAACATCTGGCTATATGAACTAAAACGGGTCTTTATATTCTCTGTACCTTAGTTTTCTCATGTATAAAGCTAAATGATGAAATTAGTGACCTTTAAACTCTAAAGTTCTGGTATAGTCAATAGTTACCATCATATAACCATCGCATTACTGCTCACATTCCTGGAAACACTGTGAAAGTCAAGGATTAGATATTTCAGTCCTTAGTACAGCATACTATTAACTCCTAGACAAAAAACTGAAAAAAACTAGTATTTTTAGATGATGCTTCAGGAAGAAAAAACAAATTAATGAAAGAAATACAAAATATATGTTAATAGCCTGACTTTGGACATACTGTAAAGATATTCTACATGATGTTGGCTGTGGGTTTAAAGTTTTAAAAAAATTTTTTTAATAGAATAAAAGATTTTCCCACTAACTCTTTATTGTGAAAAATTTCAAACTTACCAAAAAGTTAAGGAATAATACAATAAATACCATGTACCTTTCACCCAGATTCACAAAGTGTTAACATTTCCGACACCTTGAGTGCCTCTTCTCTCTTTTTGTTTTTGTGGAACCACTTGAAAACATTTGTAGATATGACATTTCCACTCTTTTTTTTGAAGAGATGAGGTTTCACCATGTTGGCCAGGCTGGTCTTGAACCCCTGACCTCAAGTGATCTGCCCACCTTGGCCTCCCAAAGTGCTAGGATTACAGGCATGAGCCACCGCACCTGGCTGGCATTTCCACTCTTTAACACCTGGCATGTGTTTTCTAAAAATGTACATTCTTTTATCTTTACAACACTACTATCACAGTTAAGAAAATAAAATGTAATACAGTATCACCTATTATACAGTTCATTGTTAAATTTTCCCAGTTGCTCTCAAACTGCCTTTTATACCTATTTTTGTTTTAAAAAAATACAGAATCCAATCATAGTTTATACATCATATTTGGTTGTTATGTCTCTTAATCTAGAACGGTTCTATTACCTTTTTTGTGTTTTATGACATTGATGTTAATGTCCAGGTCAGTTAATTGTCTTGTGGTATGGTCCACATTCTGGATTTGCCTGATTCTTAACTCATAATTAAATTCAGGTTAAATGTATTGAACAAGAATACTACAGAGATAATATTGTGCATTTATTAGATCACATCAGACTGAACACAATGAAAGATTGCTCCAATATTGGTGATGCTAAGTTTGCTAAGTTCAAGTAGTACCTGCCAGATCTCTCCATTGTAAAGGTACATTGTTTATCTTTGTAACTAATAATCAGTCTGTGGGTGATCATTTGAGATCATCGGTTTAGAATTCATTAATGACCCTCATCTAAATCAATTATTATAATGAAAGTTTTAAAAATGGAGATTTCCTATTTTATCTTTCTTTCTATATTTACTAGCTGCTATTTTGTAAAGGAAATTTTTCTTTATCCCATCCTTTTCTTCCTTATTTTCTTCCTTCTTTCCCTTCTTTCTGTCCTTCCTTCTTTCCTTATGTCTGCTTTCAAATACACACACACACACACACACACACACACACACACACACAGAATGCTTCATGAATTTGCATGTCATCCTGGCACAGGGGCCCTGCTAATCTTCTCTGTATTCTTCCAATTTTAGTATATGTGCTCCGAAGCAAGCACATGGATTCTTTTTACCTAACATATTACAATTCATTATTGTCATTATTCGTTTTAATGCTCAAATGTTCCCAAATTTGGCTATTACATAAAGATTTTGAAGTAAGTCAAAAGTATAAATAAATCTGAAGCAGGGCGGCAAAAGCTACAAAACAGCTATTTTAACAGTATTGTACACTTTGTTTTTTGTGGGGAGTAGGGGAGGGAATCAGGCAGCCCCCTGAACCAGACAGACTCTTAATACACATTTATTGAGGGATGTTATTCAAAACATTGAACTAATGGCACATCACAGGAATTAACCAATCAGAATCTACACTGGCAGTAAAGAAATGGTGAATACTATGTACCTATTACTCTCTTAATATTACTAACAGAAGCAAATTTTCAGGTTTCTTATGGGAATTATATTTATGCAAAAATATTTCAATTTTACTAATGTCCTACTATAAAACAATGTCGAACCAAACAATAGTCAATAACAGCATGCCCTTTATATTTCTTAATCTGGGCCGGGTGCAGTGGTTCATGCCTGTAATCCCAGCACTTTGGGAGGTAGAGGCGGTAGATCACTTGATGCCAGAAGTTTGAGACCAGCCTTGCCAACATGGTAAAACCCGGTCTCTACTAAAAATACAAAAATTAGCTGGGCACACGCCTCTAATCCCAGCTAGTCTGGAGCCTGCGGCAGGAGAATCGCTTGAATCCGGAAGACACAAGTTGCAGTGAGCCAAGATCATGCCTCTACGAATAAATTTCTTTCTTTTTTTTTTTTGAGATGGAGTTTCGCTGTTGTTACCCAGACTGGAGGGCAATGGCACGATCTCAGCTCACCGCAATCTCCACCTTCTGGGTTCAAGCAATTCTCCTGCCTCAGCCTCCCGAGTAGCTGGGACTACAGGCGCACACCACCATGCACAGCTAATTTTTGTATTTTTAGTAGAGACGGGGTTTCACCTTGTTGACCAGGATGGTCTCGATCTCTTGATCTCGTGATCCACTCACCTCGGCCTCCCAAAGTGCTGGGATTATAGGCGTGAGCCACCACGCCCCGCCATGAATAAATTTCTTAATCTAACTCATTGGTGCTAACATGTCACAAGTAAACATTTTAAAGATAACTTTGCTTTCAGAAAATTTTGAAAGTGTAGATTCTAATCAATTACCTTAATTTACTCTTACCTTTTCTATCAGAAAATGTTGGTCTTGTTCCCAAATAAAACTACCAATTTTTCTTCTTATTTCTGTGGTGAGAAAAACAAATCCAATACTGTTTTTTAAATTACAGAATCTTCTGAATTTTGCTTAAACTCTGAAATTTCTAGGCCGGTGTTATTCTATTTGCAACAAAATCACCTAACACACTTATTAAAATGCAAATTCTAATTGAATCAGATAATTGAGGAGGAGCTCTGGAATTTGCTTTTCTAACAAACTCCCCAGATGATTCTAATACACTTTGCTAATCATTGTAGACTTTTTCTGCTAGAATATATCTATATTTGTATCTATATATACATTAGATGTGTGATATACATATCACTGAGGTATATTCATCCACCCTTCTTTTATATATATATCTATATTCATATCTATATATACATTAGATATATATCTATATCTGTATCATTACATATACATCTGCACATATTTATCTCTATATAATCATATATATCTACTTAATGCATTAGATATATATTAGACATATATCTAATTCACATCTAATGTCTATATAGATATAGATACAGATATGTAGATATAGCTATAGATATAAAAGAAGGGTGGATGAACAATATCTCTAGTAAACATGATAGCACAGAAATTCTACAATGGTCAGCATGTCAAAGGAATATGTCATCATCCTAACTCAGCGATCTCAAAAGTTTTCACAGTAGCCAAAAACGGTAACATTACTCTAGACTTTTTGCTGTCCAACACAGCAGCCACTACATGTAGGAACTGAGCCCTGGAAATGTGTGGTTAATCCAAATTGAGATATGCTGTAAGTATAAAATAAATGCAGGATTTTGAAGACTTAGTATCAAAAAAAGAATGTAGAGTATCTCAATTTTTATAGTTTATATATTGAAACAATATTTTAGATATATTAGGTTAAATAAAATATATTCCAAAAATTAATTCTACTCATTCAATTAAATTTTATTTTTGAGATGGAGTCTCACTTTGTAACCAGGCTGCAGTGCAGTGGCACAACCTAGGCTCCCTGCAATCTCTGCCTCCTGAGTTCAAGCAATTCTCCTGCCTCAGCCATCAGAGTAGCTGGGATTACAGGCATGAGACATTGCACCTGGCCAATTAATTAATTTTTTTAGAGAAGGGGGTCTCACTATGTTGCCCAGACTAGAATGCAGTGGCTATTCACAGGGGTGACCATGTTGCACTGCAGCCTCAAACTCCCAGGCTAAAGGGATCCTCCCACCTCAGCCTCTAGAGTAGATGGGATTACAGGTGCATGCCACTTCACCCAGCTATTTTTTATTCTTATTAATGCGGCTACTAGAAAATTTAAAATTCATATATGGCAAACATTTACATCTCGCATTTCTACTAGACAATACTGCTCTAGGCAGATTTTTAAAAATGTATACTTTGAATTTTTTAAAGAAGCATGTTTTCATTTAAAACAGATTTTTGAAAATTTAAATACATCTTAATATAAGATGCTAAACTCAAAGACAGAATAGGACTGATAATTTAAAATTATATAATAGGAGTAATAAATTAAATCACAGCCATTCTACAATATAAGCTCCTTGAAGCTGGGTCACTAATTGGCACATGTAGTTTTTTTAAATCAATTCCCCATCCAGTCATTAATTGATTTGTGTAACCACTTAGAACAATTTAGTGTTATTGGTTATCAGTAGGTTTCACCAGGAAGGAACCAAATCTCTGGGGTCTCTAATGGTTCCTTTTTAGAAATCATTTTTAAATTGTTTGTTTTCTTTTCTTTTTAATACTCTCTTCATTGGGAATCTGTACTCAGGTTCAGTCTGGCTTTCTGGAGATAAACACATATCTATTGGGTAGACAGCTATATATCAAGAATTGGGTAATAATACAAAACCTACCAACGGAGTATTTAAAGTTAGCCCAGGCCAAGTGTGGTGGCTCATGCCTATATTCCTAGCACTTTGGGAGGCCAAGGTGGGTGGATCACTTGAGGTCAGGAATTCAAGACCAGACTGGCCAACATGGTGAAACCCCATCTCTACTAAAAATATAAAAATTAACTGGGTGTGGTGGTGGGCGCCTGCAGTCCCAGCTACTCAGGAGGCTGAGGCAGGATAATCACTTGAACCCAGGAGGCAGAGGGTGCAGTGGGCTGAGATCACATCACTGCATTCCAGCCTGGATAACAGAGCAAGACTCCATCTCAAAAAAATAATAAAGTTAGCCCAGAAAAAATAGCAGGATTTGGATAGATGGACAGGATAAGGAAAGGGTGTTCCAAGCAGGGAAAACTAAAAGAACCAATCTCAGAAGCAGTTTATTTACTTCCCCATCCTATTTCCTAGGGCCACTGAAAAAATTAATGTGAAAGCGATTTCAAATGTATTTTTTAAAAATGCAAATACATGGGTTTATTATCATAACCAATCTTTAAAGATCAGAAGAAAAACTTAGAAAAATAATGAAGAGATTCAAAACTAGCAAAGAACACATTTATTAAATGCTCACCACATCAGACACCTTAATACATTATCTTTTTAAAAAAATATTTGAAATTATTAAAATAGAGACAGGGTCTCACCATGTTGCCCTGTTACCCAGGCTAGTCTTGAACTCCTGGGCTCATGTGATCCACCTGTCTCGGCTTCCCAAAGTGCTGTGATTACAGGCACGCCCCACTGCGCCCAGCCCATTATCTCATTTTATCCTCAAAACAACTTCAGAGAAGTAACTTTCTAAAAGATGGCAAAACTAGTAAGCATTGGATCCTAGCTTGTGAAAGCAAGTTCTGCATCTGTCTTATTCTCCACTGAATCCCCAGCACCTACCCAGGTTGAAACCTGGCACACCGGAAGAGCTCAATGAGTTTATGAATAAACAATACATAATGTCAAGATATACACCCAAGGCAATCTGATCCAAAGTCTGTACTTTTTCCACTTACGTTAAATAGATACAAAACTCAAAAATAATGTGACTGCAAACAAAATAAAGTTGAATTTGGCTGTTTAACAGAGATTAGCCAGATTTGGCTGTCTGACAGGGATTGGCTGAATGACCTTTGCTAACCTTTTTGCAGGCATGCAGGAGGAAGAATGAAATGACCCAAAGCCACCGAGTTTTTTATTTCAGCATTAGCTACTGCAGAGAGATAGTAGGCATGAAAAACTGTAGCATTGTCTTCTATGTAATCAAGGCTCTGATATATTCTAGGAGAAACAAAGGAAATATTTTAGGTTATGAAACAAACAAGACTGTATTCAATCTTTCAAAAGAATGAGTAAGTAACTGGAAGTAGGGAGATGATTACATTGAAGGATACATGTAGCCTGTCCTTTTTCAGTAAGGAAGGAAAAACATATGGCATAAGATATTACTTTCTGAGGGCCTGTATCTGGCACATCTTGGCTTTAGAGGGTTGGTTAATGACCATATGATGATTTAAACAGTAATGTTTACTTGGCATCAACAATGCATTGAGCCAGCAGCTTTATCCATGGTCATTGCTATAAAAAGGGATCAATTAGTCCTGAGGTGAGGAGTGGGCATGCAGTCAGAGGAACCTTCACAGATAGAAAGCAACATCTTTCCTATAGGTGGAGATAAGAAGGGCATTACAAGGAAAAAGAAAGGCATGCATGAAGGCACAATAATGGCAGTTCAGGTTGACTGGGCTATGGAAGGCATGAGAAAAACTGAGAAATAAACAAGGTAGGTACAGCCAAGATCTAAATCTGTAGTAAGTCGGAGGAAAGTGGGGGAAGGAGAGTGGTAGGGCCCTGATCTGATGTCTGTTTGTAAACGAAATCTGAGAGCCATATAAAGGGGGATCTCAGGGAACAGATTCGAGGCACAGTAACGGCTTAGGAATTTACTGTGATAGTCCCTGCCAAAAGGAATTAAGGTTAATGGCAGTGAGGTTGAAGAAGAATTGGTATTTGGCCGCTGACTGATTAATGGCATAGGGTTGTTATTCAGCGTTTTGGAGAACACAGGCCATGGCGCAGGTATAAAGGGAAATGAGAAAATTTGGTTTAGACACTGAGTATGAGGGGCCCTCAGGTGTGGAAGAGGCAGCTGGAAACACACACCTGGAATTCAGGAAGAGGCCTGAGGACCAGGCAGAAGCGCATGACACTGCGGCAGAAAGGAAAGGAGGTTTGTCTACTTTTTTCCCTCCCATCTAGGACTGAAAACTGGCCCGTTTCCAGCCTCATCCTATCGTCAATATTATCCATTTAATTTTATTTTCATTTTATTATTTTATTTCTATTTATTGATTGGTTGATTGCGACAGAATCTTGCTCTGTCGCCCAGGCTGGAGTGCAATGGTACAATCTAGACTCACTGTAACCTCCACCTCCCAGGTTTAAACAATTCTCCTGCCTCAGCCTTCCGAGTAGCTGGGATTACAGCCACGCGCCACCGCGCCCAGCCTCATCTTTATTTACTGGCAGAATGCAACTTCCATCCCCAATTCCAGGCTCATCCTAACATAAGAGGCAAAGCCAGGTAGCCCTCAGTACCTCAGCGTGTCCGGGTGTGAGGCATCACTGCTGAACAAGAAGTCGGCGGCTCGCGGGTCACTGATCGTCCCCCCTTCAGCCACTGTGGAGGTAACAGCACAGGGTGAACCTATCAAGCACCCCGGACCCAAAGCATCAGAGAAAGGAGGGTGCACCCCTCACCACCTAACCCGCGGCTTCCATTCAGCTTCCTACCCCAGAATTGCCTCAGATCCCGGCTGACGCTACCACAGAACCAACCGCGCTGCCCTTGAAACATGGCGTCACCTCGCATGCGGGAACGTGAGAGAGGAGGCCCCAGAGTTGAGATCCCTGATTGGTTCCAGGTCCAAGCCAAGCTCCATGATTGGTTCCCAAGAGCAATGGGTAGAAAAGGCCTGAGGCTCTCAGATGAGGGACGGTTACTACCAGACTGAGCTGACTGGTACTCTGAATCCCTTAGGGGCCTCTCAGCCTTCCCCTGATAAGAGGAGGAGGGCAACTCGAAGTTGGTGAGGTTTTGTTTGTTTTTTGTTTTAAATTTTGAGGTGGGTTAAATATTTAACCCTAAATATTAACAAAGTTACTGTGCTGTGTTGTATAGGCATAGGGCAGATTCTGCAGCACCAAGTATTATTTTTGAAGCAAAATTCATCTTATCATTTCATCTATACATGTTTCACTTTGAATCCCTTAAAAGTGAGGACTTACACACACACACACACACACACAACTGCGATACCATTATGACACTTGAGAGTTCTTTAATATAATCAAATGTCACCAGTGTTCAAATTTCTGTTTTATTCAGAATTGTTTTCCTTTTACCGTTTCCTGCTTCTTACATCAGTTGTGATAAGTAGTTACATTTTTCTGGTGTTGTATTCCTTTAATCTAAACATTAAAAAATTGTTTATATAAAGTTGTCCATAAAATCTTTTACTAACTTTTTAAATATCTGTGGGATCTCTAGTCATGCTAGTCATGGTGCTATTTTTCTTTTTCTTTCTTTTTTCTTGTTTGTAATTTTTTTCTCCTACTTTAGTCACCTCTCTGACAATCTTTTTCATTTCTGGTAATGGTTCTTTGTGCCTTCTCTTTTTTTATTTCCTAGTCTTATTAGAACTTTGTCAATTTTATTAGCCTTTTCAAAGAACATACTTCTGGTTTTATTGATATTCTCTTTATATATTTCTTTTCTACATCGTTAATTTTAGCTCTTTATAATTTCCTTCCAATTTTCTTTGTTTAAAATTGCTGTTCTTAGGCTAGGCACAGTGGCTCATGCCTGTAATCCCAACACTTGGCAGGCTGAGATAGGCAGATCACTTGAAGTCAGGAGTTCAAGACCAGCCTCACTAACATGGTGAAACCCTGTCTCTACTAAAAATATAAAAATTAGCCGGGCATGGTGGCTCATTCCTGTAATCCCAGCTACTAGGGAGACTGAGACAGGAGAATCACTTGAGCCTGGGAGGCAGAGGTTGCAGTGAGCCGAGATTGTGTCACTGTACTCCAGCCTGGGTGATAAAATGAGACTCCATCTCAAAAAAAAAAAAAATATTCCTATTCTTTTTCTAATTTTTTGAACTGGATGATTGGTTTTCATCCTTTATTTTTCTAATATGTGCATATAAAGCTATACATTTCCTTTGAAGTGTGTGCCACATGTTTTTGAGATGTCATTTTTTATTATTGTTGAAAGTATTTTCAGATTTCCCATATAAGTGTTGTGCCTTGTGGAATATGCAAAATGTTTTTGAATCTCTGAGTACATATGATTTTCTAATTATCTAGTTACTGATTTCTGGTTCAAATGCATTAAGGTCAAAGAATATGATTTTGTGATTATAATCCTTTGAAATTTGTTGACATTTTCCTTAGGCTGAAGTATATGGTCAATATCCTGTTTAAGTTTAAAGAAAATGTTCTGAAACTGTTGGATGTTTTGGTATGTTTATATGTATGTTTATTAGGTCAAGTTTGTTAATCATATTGTCGGATTCTTCTGTTAATGAGAATGCCATATAAAAACCTCATACTTATTTGTGAATTTATCAATTTCTTCTTATACGTTTGTTAAATTTTGCTTTATATATTTTGAAGTTATGTTGTTAGGTACATGCAAATGTATACTCATTATTACTTTCTAGTTGTTGAACCATTAAGCACTGGACTGCAGCCATGTCCTACTGCCAGCAGGAAGAGAAGAATCAAATCATATTTGTGGCCAAAGAAGACCACAAAACTCCATGCAGACGTGGTGGCTGATGACCCCAATGATCCCTACAAGGAGCACAGATTGGTACTGCCAAATGGAGTCATTAAGTAGGACCTGCCCATAAAGGCCAGCAGTCCCTGTGGGGAACAGTTCAAATTCGCCTTTTCCTGCTTCCACTATAGCACAGAGGATGTCAAGGGGTCAGAGTGTGTAGACCAGTCTATAGTCCCATGCAGGAATGCATACAGAAATACCCAGACTTCTGTCCTCAAGATTAGGAAGAGGAAAATAAGCTAGCAGAACAGGTAGAAGAAACAGTGGTCACTGATGCCACTGTAACCAAAGAAGAGGAGGGGTCAAGTTAATGAAGCCCACAAGGCACTGGGCTCTAGTCCTTCCACTTCAGAGTGACATGTATGTTTTGCAAAAGGCCTTTTAGTCATCCTCCAAGAAAGTGTCTTTCCCTCTGTTGTCCTATGCATGTAATGTGCAAAATAACTTATTTTGATGATCAGAGGTCTTGGCCTCTTGACATATACCCTGAAAATAATAGAGGTTGTATGTATATGTGTCCTACATAAATCTGACAGCAAACATGGCCACTGCTTTTGAATTCTCTTTTCCCACAGATTTCTGTGAATTTTGCCACTTTGAAATAATGTGATGAATAATCTCAGTAACCAAAAATCATTATCCAGGAATGTTTCTTGTGAGTAAGCTGATTTATTCTGATTCACTATATCCCTTTTAGTAGATTTTATACCCTTTTGGGAAGTCTAACAGAAACCAAAGCATTTAAAATGCTGGGATGGGACCATTTCTATTACAATAGGCCAGATGATCAGATATATTTCTCCAAGCCCTTCTTGACCTTGAGTATATTAGAGGGTACTGTACTTCATTCCTGATACATTTTGGTTTCCATGTTGGCATTGAGATCTGGGTTTCCTTTCCTTTTCTTTTCTTTTTTGAGACAAAGTCTTACTCTGTCGCTAAAGCTGGAATGCAGTGGCATGATCTCAGCTCTGCACTCCAGCTTGCACTCGGCTCTGCATTGTAGCCTCTGCTTCCTGAGTTCAAGTGATTCTCCTGCCTCAGCCTCCTGAGTAGCTAGGATTACAAGCATGCACCACCATACCCAGCTAATTTTTGTATTTTTAGTACAGACAGGGTTTCATCACATTGGTCAGGCTGGTCTTAAGCACCTGACCTCAAGTGATCTGCCTGCCTGGGCCTCCCAAAGTGCTGGGATTATAGGTGTGAGCCACCATGCCCAGCTGAGTTCCAGGTTTTCTGAGTTTGGATGGTGGATATTTGGACCGTCCCATTCCCAGTCCCATTCTAAGTAAAGGGAAATGCTGGGCTGCTGCTTTTTCTGAAAGCCCTGGTTTGGGGCCTGCATTCACATTGGTTCTCAGTCTGGTCAGATGCAATGTTCTTGAGAGGTGGGGACCTAATGGTTATCAGAATAGTAGTCAATAGAGGAAACAGTTGAATTAAATATGCAATTAAAAGGATACATGACCAGGCATAGTGGTGTGTGCCTATAGTCCCAGCCACTCAGGAGGCCAACAAAGGAGAATAGTTTGAGCCAAGGAAATTGAGGCTACAGTGAGCTATGATCATACCACTGTACTCCACCCTGGGTGACACAGCAAGACCCTGTCTCAAAAAAAAAAAAACAAAAAAAGGAAACATAATTTCTTTTGTTTTTTTTTGGGGGGGGGGAGGAAGGCAGGAAGGGAGGGAAGAAGGATGGTAGAGAGGAAGGAAGGAAGGAAGGGAGGAAGCGGGGAGGGAGGGAGGGAGAGAGGGAAGGGAAGGAAGGAAATCAAGCAATGAGACATTGCCGACCTGGATCTAGAGGTTTACAAGTCGATTTCTTTTTTTTTTGAGAGAAGGAAAGAAAAAAAAAAATAAGTAAAGGAGAAGAAGAAAGAGGAAGAGAAAGAGGGAGAGTAAATGGAAATATTGCTTTATTTTGAAAAAAATTGGGTATTAATAATGGCCAATCAATGTTTCATTTAAACTTATGGGTAGGTGTGATGTGGTATTGACAAGGATGTATATTTTGTGTATTTGAAGTGGAGAGCTCTATAAATATTTATTAAGTTTATTTGTTCTGGATCTGAGTTCGAGTCCTTGATATCCTTATTAATTTTCTGTCTCATTGAATCTAAGTCTCCTATCTGGGTGTTAGGATCGTTAGCTCTTGTTGTTGCATTGATCCTTTTACCACTATATCTTTGTTGCTTTAAAATCTATTTTATCCGATATGAGAATTGCAACTCCTGCTTTTTATTTATTATTTATTTTTGCTCTCCATTTGGTTGGTAAATCTTTCTCCATTCCTTTGTTTTGAGTCTTTGTGTATCCTTGCATGTGAAACAGGTCTGGATATAACATGCCGTTGGGTTTTGGCTGTGTCTTTTGATTGGGGGATTTAGTCAATTTATATTTAGGGTTACTGCCATTTGATGTTGACCGGCTGTTTTATCCATTCATTGGTGTAAATTCTTCTTTATGTTGGTGCTCTTTACTTTTTGGTGTATTTTTAGAAAGGCTAATACTAGTTGTTTCTTTCTGTGTGTAATGCTTCTTTCAGAAGCTCTTGTAAAGCAGGCCTGGTGGTAATAAAATCTCTGAGTTCTTGCTTGTTCATAAAAGATTTTATTTTTCCTTCAGTTGTGAAGCTTAGTTTGGCGGGATATGAAATTCTGGGCTGAAGGTTCTGTTCTTTGAGGATGTTGAATATTGGCCCCCACTCTCTTCTGGCTTGTAGAGTTTCTGCCGAGAGATCTGCTGTAAGTCTGATAGGCTTGCCTTTGTGGGTAACCTGACCTCTCTCTCTGGCTGCCCTTAGTATTTTCTCCTTCGTTTCAACCCTGGTGAATCTAACGGTTATGTGCCTTGGGGCTGCTCTTCTTGAGGAATTCTCTGTATTACCTGGGGTTGAATGTTGACCTGCTTTGCTAGTTTAGGAAAATTTTTCTGAATAATATCCTGAAGGGTATTTTCCAGCTTGGATTCATTCTCCCTGTCACATTCAGGTACACCTATCAAATGTAAATTTGGTCTTTTCACATAGTCCCACATTTCTTGGAGACTGCTCATTCCTTTTTATCCTTTTTTCTCTAATCTTTT